GCACTATACAAGTGAAACAAACTGTCCCACTTGAAGCACTATACAAGTGAGACAAACTGTCCCACTTTAAACACTATACAAGTGAGACAAACTGTCGAACTTGAAGCACTATACAAGTGAAACAAACTGTCCCACTTGAAGCACTATACAAGTGAGACAAACTGTCCCACTTTAAACACTATACAAGTGACACAAACTGTCCCACTTCAAGCACTACAAGTGAGACAAACTGTCCTACTTGAAGCACTACAAGTGAGACAAACTGTCCCACTTCAAGCACTATACAAGTAAAACACTGTCTTACATAAAACCTTCACATATTGCCCAATATATAGAACAACGGATATTAATTGGTGTCGAACAATTGTACTGATGTAAATTATTGTCAGTATTAGTCGTTTACTGATTTATTAATATACTAATCTTTGCCTGGTCAACTGTTTTCTTTTTGATAATTCTGAAAGAGCTTTAAAAATTGGTATTTAAGGTTACCCTTGGTTTACTAACATATTGATAGGCAGAAATATTTGAGTTTCAAATTATAAATTTATGACTTCATTGTAGTAAATTGGATTTATTTTTGTATGTCATATTTCTTTCTAGATATTTGACAACCTTGTATGTCATTTCTATAGATCATATTCGAAGGTTGGGTTGGAAACGGTACCAGGAGCGACATGGCTCTCGATGACATTATTCTGACAAAGGGGGCGTGCATCTTTTGAAAAAAACAATTCTGGTACTTTGCATTCCAACTCGAGCGAGAGACAGTATTTAGTAATCATGAATTATAAAATATGAAAGGAATGTTTTTGCTTCTACAGAATGTTAATGTCTTATATTGTTGATGACTAATCCTGTAATAAACACAGGTGGTGGTTCTCTATACGGAATATGTGTTTATAAGTGCTTAAGCTCTAATGCTGTAACAACAAGTGGTGGATCGCGATAAGGGAATATTTCTATTGATGTTTAAAACTTGTAATCTTTAACATAAGTAGCACGGTGTCAACGTTGGGAGATAATAAACTTTACGTTTTTTTAAAGTTGTCTGGTTTTAAACTAATTATTACGTAACGAATCAACTACAGCCACGTAACACAAACAGCACTCACGGTTCGTTACGTAACAGAACAACTACAACCACGTAACACAAACAGCACTCACGGTTCGTTATGTAACAGAACAACTACAACCACGTAACACAAACAGCAACCACGGTTCATTACGTAAC